TTGCCTGACTCTTTGCGGGTACTTCATGGTTGCAGCTTTCCTAGCAGCCTCTTCATGGTTCCCATTTGCCTGTGGGATCCCCAGGTACTTCTAGCTGTCCTCTATGTCTGCAATGTTGCCATCTGGTAGTGTGATTCCCTCAATTCTGACTACCTTCCCTGTCTTTGTTACCATCCGAGTACACTTCTCCAACCCGAATGACATTCCAATGTCGTTGCTGTATATCCCGGTGGTGTGGATCGGTGAATTTCATGTCAGGCAAGCACAATTGAATCCAAATTGGAATCATTTTGCTTGGTTGCTTGGTTGTTATAAATGAACAAAAATGAAACTGCTGATCCAGATCAGAAACATTGCGACCCATCTATGTGATATAATCTCATTTTGCCATAATTGGCTGTACTTATATCTTGTGTCATGTTAAATCATCACTTATCTTTCATCCTCACCCAGAACATTTTCCTGACCGATAATGGGACAGTCAAGCTTGGAGACTTTGGCTCAGCCTGTATTTTGAACAGGTAAAGAACATGATGCTGTTCAGCTTTTTAAAGTTAATGTTGAGTTTGTCTAGTTTTAATTTGATTGTAAATTTGTTCCAGCTCGAAGGCTTACGCTCATGCATATGTTGGAACTCCGTATTATGTGGCACCAGAAATCTGGGACAATAAGCCGTACAACAATAAGAGGTATGCTACTGTGAGCGTTCGGCTGGATCCTCCGGTTTATATCAAACAATATAAAGATGAAATTATGCTTCTTCTCAATAGATCAGCGTCTGTGCTTAGAAAATGTGTGTCATTGTAACAAGAAACGTTAAAAGCAGAAATGTAAATATACACTCACCAACCACTTCATTAGGTACAGCTTGCTATGACTGGGTTAGAACCCCTTTTACCCTCAGAACTGCTTTAATTCAATAGGAGGGTGGAAAGATTCCTCAAAGTTTTTGTCCATATTAACATGATAGCAACACAGTTGCTGCAGATTTGCCAACTGAACACCTATGCTGCAAATCTCCTGCTCAGCATGCTGCTGAACAGAAGATTTGCATGTTTTCATGCTGCGCATGCCAGATTCAGATCATGCCATCCAAATGTGGCAGCAGAAATTGAGACTTGTGAGACCGCACGATGTATTCCTAATCTATGTTGTTCAATTCGGGTGTGAATTGTGGCCTCGGTTTCCTGTTTTTTTGCTGACAAGAGTGGCACTCGGTGTATTTATTCTCCTGCTGTGGCCCAGCATTTTCATGTTCAACATTTTGCACGTTCAGAGATCCTGTTCAGCATACTTTGGTTGTAGTAAGTGATTATTTGATTTACTGTCGCCTTCCTATCAGCTCAAAGCAGTCTGGCCATTCTCCTCTGACCTCTGGCATCAATAAGTCATTCTGACCCAAGGAAATTATGCTTGCTAGATATTTTCTCTTTTTTCTGACTATTCTCTGTAAACCCAGAGGTAGTTGTGTCAGAAAAATCCCAGCAGATCAGCATTTTTTTTAAAATATACAGACTAGTCTGTCTGGCGCTAACGTGCCACATTTACATTTAAATCTCCTTTCTTCCCCATTTTGATTCCCATTTTCAGCAGGTCGTCATGTACCCACTAAAATAGCCGGTGAGTGTATGAATTGAATAAAATGTGCTACCAAGAGTTTCTGGGCATGTTTTCTACATGAATAAAATTTGTGAATACGGATTAACAGTAACTAGATCAATGAGAAAAGAAACAGGAACCTATGCTAGAATAGTCTACAGTTGTATGCAAAAATTGTTGGCAGTGCTGTCACTGCCCATACTAAATTTTTATTTGTTCGCCAACAAAAATGTTTTGAATCTCACAGAACCCTTGTGTTATTCACAATATCAAAAAAACATGTAAAAATAATCTAAAGAAAACCTGAAAAATAAACTTTGTGCCATGACTGTACATACAAATAATACATCTGTTTAACCAACTGTGTGGTTTTTATTTTTAAAAAGTGACATGCAAGAACCAAATCTGGTCAAACTATGGTGACAGTAGAGCACCTGCAGAGAGTGTGTACATATTTGTGCTTATATGCGGAATTTCTGTATGTATGTATTATAGTTCATTGGAATGCCTACAGTAGTCATTGAAAATCTGTGAAATCTGCACTACAAAAATATCCAGAGATCTTAAAGGACTTGGATCACCAAGTGCTAGCCCTCGAGTGGCCCTCGAGTCTGCCGCTGCACATTTCATTCAGCCACACTTCATGTCGTTTTACGACAGAGCAGGGCAGAATGATACCAAGAGATCATCTCTTTTCAAACCCAACTCTTCTGTTCTTGCCATCATAGCCGACTGAACATTCCTAACACTGACTTATACAGCTAGCATCAAGCACTGTAACACCCACAACTATGAACCAGAACAAAAAGTGACTGAATAAAATGAAGAAATAGCAACACAAAACACTGTCATCCTCTGTAGAGAGACAGTGCAAAGACTAACTAAAAGTTAAGTCATATTCTGGCTTCTTAAAGTGGGACTAAGTCATTAAAACTTTGAGAACCCCCGGCTTAGAGTCTCTCTGCAGGCTTTTTCCCCCCGACAGCATACATTTACATGTTATTTTCAGTCTCTGATTTAGTTTGAGTTCTCTGACTAAAGGGGCTCAGCAGTGATTGTGTAACTCATGCATGGGTTAACCAGTTCTCTCCGACTCTGCCAGTACATGATGAAATGTCTGGTGTGAATGAATAACCATTTCTCCCTTTGTGTGTTCTGCAGTGATGTGTGGTCTCTAGGCTGCGTCCTGTACGAGCTCTGCACCCTGCGACACCCGGTACTCCCTCCTCCACACCTCATGCACAGTGTGGTTTGTTGTGTCTTCACGCTTTTCTCCTGTGTCCAGTTCCAGGCATCCAGCTGGAAGAGTCTGATTCTTAAGGTGTGCCGGGGTGCATACCCTCCCCTCCCCAGTCATCTTCCTTATGAGTTGCAGTACTTGGTCAAGCAGATGTTCAAGACAAACCCAAAAGACAGACCGTCCCTGCACACCATCCTGACCTCTCACAGGGTTTCTAAACTCTTGCGTACACACCTGCCCTCCCAGGTAAAATCAGTATGTTGAACCTGATTTTAGGGCTGCACATTCATCACAGTCACTTGCTGTTTTGACCTAATGGTAGCATGAGAATTTAAACTCTTACGCAACTTTGCCAGCTGTGGTAATCCAATGTGGACCTTTTGTTTGTTCAGATGGCCGCAGAGCTCGTGCTGCGCATTTGATTCAGGGCGGTGTTTTGAATCTTTTACAGGCCTCGGAGAGGGAGGAGCAGGCGAGGCATACAGGTCGATGGAACAGAGAGGAGGGAAAGAATGTGGCTCGTCTTCTGGGAGAGAAGAGTTTAATAAAAACATCAACATCTGAAGGTGGAGTCAAAGCTAACAATGTTATGTTGAAGAAAATGATCTACTGTTGCGCTGCTGGCAGGGTTACATTACTGACTTTGTTCTCAAAACTGTATGGTTTGTCATCAAAATATGTCCTAAATAACCCTTTAAATCAGGTATGGACTTACCAAAAAGCTGCTTCGAAAGCAGAGACCCCGCCCCTCGAAAGCAGTGGTCTACTGAGCCATCAGACACCGTGCTGCAGGTGTTAGCTAATGCCAGTCTGGTTTCATCTGACAGCGTGACATCAACTGGCCGGACCTTCACTAGTTCTACTCATGAAGGTATGGTAGCAGCAGAATTTCATTTCCTGAAAGGTGCAAAAATAAGCGGTGGAGACTGAAATGCCAAACCAACGCATTCCGTTGCAGGGGAGCCAGAGGACAGCAGGCAGAGAAGACGATGGGAAAGGAATCCTCCTGAGAGGCTTCTGAGTCTGCTGGAGAAGGCTCAGCTGAGCAAAGCCTCCAGCACCTTCATAATAAACAGAGGTCTGCTGATCTGTGAGCAGACTCTTATCTCAATGTAAGCTGTAGATAGCCCAACTGAAATCTTTAATGCGTTCATCATTGTGGTGTTGTTCAGGTGAAGACCCTCTGTTGGGACCACTCTCCCATCCTCAAGGTGATGACACGGATGGGCCCGAACAAGAGCTGGTTATAGACGAGGACCGCCTGCAGCCACGCTCTGATGATGAAGACACGTAAGTAACCCTGACGTGTTGTTGTTTAATATCCCAGCATTAATGCAGAGCATATTAGATGATGTTGTACAGCAGTTGGACATAAGGGGAAATAGTTACAGCAGTGTTTTAATTGATTTTAATGTGAACAGGGTGAGAAAAAGACTGAAATGGGAAGGATACTGAATGAAAGTATAGTTCTTATATTGTGTTGACTTTGTTGGTCCTCTCACTGCAGGGACTTTGAAGAGGAATCTCCATGTGACTGGATGGATGAAGCTGAGAAAATATTTTTGGAACACTAAGACCTTTTTTCCTTCTGAGCCTGTAAAAAAGGCAAGGTTAACTTTTAAATGCTGCAACAAGACACTAAAATTTTAACTGTGTGTTTTGTTTTTTTTTCAGCTTGCTGTCAGAAAACCTTGTGCACATAAAGACGTTTGGAAGTTTTGTGTGCTCTGTTTAATCAGTTGTCTTCGCCTCAGGTTAACAGTGATAAACATTCCTTGCAATTTGAGGCCACTGGGAAGCTTCTGTTTGGCTTGTTCGGAAAACAGGAAATATTAGAGTCAGAAAGGTTATGTCTCCATGCAGTCACACCAATTTGAGCCCGCCTGCACCTTTTGAAGTCTGTTTCTTTTGCAATATCAAAAGCAAACTAAACATCTTGTTGCTGTTATATGGCTTTTATTCTTGTGACTAAACAAACCACATATCTGGCATTTTCAGCTGCTTTGTTGTTTTTCATTTTCTAGTGAGTGCTTACAGGGCCCATCCTTCCTGCACTCTATTTGGTTTATGTACCACTAGGTGGAGTTGGAATCCCTTTGGGATCCCATTGCGTGGAATGGGAAAAGCTATCGTGTGGTTCAGATCAGGGTAATTAAAGTTTGGTAAGATAAACTAAAAACTAAAATTAGATGTGAAAAAATGTGTTTAGGTAACAAAATAAGATTTATGGGACTTATGGGAAAAGAAAAAAATAACTGAAATGGTTTTGTGAACTTGGAAGACTAACCAAAATAAAATAAAATATGGGAAAATATGTAGAAAATAGATTTAGTTTCAGACTTTGTTTGGTAAAATTTGTTATCAGTTCCCCTGATGAGGCTTTGATGGACTTGTTTATTGAGACTTTGTATTCTTATAAGATGTCTGTCAACTGCTTTCATAAAGTGTTTTTTTTTTTTTCAGTTCCCGTGCTGATTTTCCTCAGTTTACCTCTGACATATGCACTCCATACAATAATACTACTTATCTTAACACTGACCAAAAAAAAGAAGCAATTTTCCAACCAAACAAAACCCGAACTGAAACGAGCAAACCCACTCTGGATACTAAATCTAAACTGAAGTGAAAACAAAAAGTCAAAAATGAAATAAAAGTAAAAACTAATTAGAAAATACAAAATGATAATCATTGTTTCAGATGTGGTTAACCTAATTAGCAGTGGCAGTGAAATAAATCAGTGAGTCCCCATGCTGCATAAAGACGTTATAAATACAAAGGAGCAAGCGGAACATGTTACTGTATTTGGTTTGCCAAATGAGAAGCCTGACGGAATAGGACCAGACAATAGAACAGCCACATGTTTGGCTACAGACAGACTTAACCCAAGCCTTGCCCATTACAGTTTGGGCTGAGCAGGAAAGGGATACTACAGCCCGTTGAGTCAACAAAACCATAATGATTCACCAACAGTCACACCAAAGCTGGATTATCCAGCTACTAAAGTTCTTTCAGTAACTTAGAACTCCTAGTGGCTGACATGAGCGCTCCGTGGTATCTTTTACCAGATATCTGCCCACGATGTGTTTCACTGAGGAAGCTCAACCCTTATCACGAGGACACAATGAATCCCCTCTCCAGTGCTCACAGTTCATCCCCCCCTGCTTTTTAGAAATAGAAAAAAAAGCACCTCCATAGCATAGATGTCCATGTTTGGAAAAGATACATGTAATGTGATGTATCATAGCAGAGCTGCAACTTCATCATGGTCTGTGTCCTGCAGATAGAAGGGTCTCCCACCAGTGGCCATGATGAACCGGGAAGTGTCTTTATATATTGGTCTTATAAACTGAGGGGTTGGAGGTGTATGAATTTGTCTAAAAGAGTTTATACTGGCTGTTTGAACTTCTGCGACCTCTGAGAATTTAGGATTAACAGTAATAGCTATAAATATAATATAAGTATTTCCTTATGAACATCCAATATGAGTACAAAGACTGAACTCAGACTGAAACTCAGAGGTTTGCAGCAAATGATCACTTGCTTAGTTTCAGTTTACTGAAACTAAGGTGGACAAACGTATGACTTCCAGTTAATCTCACATGAGTGATATCACAAAGACAGGATACATGGAGATCAGTGACTAACTAGAAATCAGTCAAGAGGGGAAGCAAAGTTGCAGCAATACTAAGGAGGTGAAGTAAATGTACCGCTCATTAGTGCAGCAGTGGTAATGCACATAAAGTAAAATTCACAACCGGTGAATTACATGTACAATATTGCTTGGAAAAACATGTCTGGAAAATTGAGCTTTGCTATAAGCAAACAAAACTTTCTTCAGTGGAAATAAAAAAAAAACATGTTTGGCAGCAACCTGGCCAGGCCTCACACAGGGAAATAATAGCCCAGTTAGTCAAGTATGGACGTGGGGGAGCAATAATACAGGCATTCATGAGTGCTAAAGGTGTTGGATAGATCAGAGATTGCATCTTAAATCATGCCTTTGTGGATATTTTAAAATACACCTAAGAAGACTCCAAGTCTCCTGAAGATATAAAAAAATATCCAAGCCTGATTATGATCAAGTGCAAGCTGCCAATACCGCACAAGAGGTTTTAAGGAAGAAGAAAAAAGTGAAATTGGGCAAGTATCTTGCCTAACTTCCATATCAGATTATTATTATTCAGTATTTAAAAGAGGAAGGTAGAGTAACACAGGCCCTGAAGCAAGAAAGAATGTCTGGGGAAAAGGAGGAACAGCCTTCAAGAAATATGTGAAACACTGCAAAAGGATATAAACAATCCTGAAAAATGTTCAAGTTTGAACAATGAAAAGAGTACCTACTTTTGCGGCAACGAGATATGATTCTCTATACTGCAATGAATCACTTGTAAGTTACTGCAGTCCCTTTTTGCATGTCGTGTAAGTGTGTCCTCTACCTGCCGTATTCAAATTTCCTTATAAATTATTTCCTTTTTTAAAAGTTTCTTGCCAGTATTATTTTTTATAATATTAAAACAAAGATTGCATTTAAAACCAGAGTTTCAAAGAAATCTAAACAATAAAGCATTGTTTGTTTTGCAAGTGCCAGGTATACCTGATTTGTCCACCTCATTTAACTACTGGTGCAAAAGGAAATGAACATGAACAGAGGTTTCCTCTTGCAGGAAGGACGTATGTGCTGTCTCCAACAGACATGTCTGCCGTATAAATGTGCCAACAAAAAAAAAAAGAAATAAAAAAAGCTGTTTAAATAAATTGTTCAAAACTCCTGCACTTAAGATTGGGTTTGTGAGGTCATTGTGAAAATAGTGTGTCTGCTGCTGTGACTCAGCGGTTTGACTAAAACATACACCGAGAAGTGATTTCATATCGCTTTTGTAACCTGCCACCTTGGTGCAGTGTGTTTGTGAACATTTGGTGACACCTTTTTTGTTGAAGTATGATCAAAACCACAAGGCCCTAGTTTGTTCCTTGCACGCAAGCTGAGCACCGCATATGAAAACATCAGAAAACACTGAGGCGTGCATAGTGATGTAGCATTTCCTTGTTCTCATTCTAATGTACTCACTTTGAAACGTGCTGTTTCCGTTTTTTCATTATGTGCTCAGATGTGTAGTGAAGCTGCACTTCTAACTATTGTTCAGGCCCTAATCTGAGTTCCCTCACCGATTTTCTTCCTGCTCATCCGCGTGACCTGATAGCAAACAATCCAGAAGCACGTATGTCTGTGTAGGTTGTCAGTCATCCAGGTCATGGTCAAGAAAAGCGACTGGACTTCTTTAAGTTTCTTCAAGATATTTCAACTCTCATTTGAGAAGCTTCTTCAGTTCCAAGACCAAATCGTTGACCTGTTATTGATAATGTGCCTCATCACATGAGCCAAGGTGTGGGTCATTATACGCATTATCGTCCAGTACCACCCATTCTTATCAAATGATGCACAAAAGACCTTTCATTATGCCTGGTTGGGAGATTGTCCACACGTCGACCCTCAGCTGCTGTCATCACCCTTGATGAAAAATTGACTTCCTATCTGCAGCAGTCCCTTATTCCCCTTTTGTCTCCCTGTTTTTGTGGCCTCCTTTTTGAACACCCCCAGTTTCACTCAGGAAGAGCTGTGCAGATGCAAGATGACCCAGTGATCTCAGTCTGGCTACTGATGCTTAGAAAGGCATTTTCTAATAGATTCCTCTCTCAGTTTTCTTATTCAGAGCAAACTATCAGAGCAAAAACAATAATAATAATTTGCTGTTTTACTCTTTGTTTGTTTTATATAAATGTAGCAACGTGTCTGCGCTATAGCTGAGTTATTAGTGGACATTTGTAGCCTCAGTGCATAGCAGCAGACCATGAAACCTTCTGTCATGACTCACCCAGTAAAGAGGAGTATTGTTTATTCTTCATGGGGAGCCGCTCTTCCTGTTAATAACAAAGCACTTAGGCGCTGCAGTTGGGAGTCTCTTTGCAACTATAAATATGGAAGCTGTCATTGTTATGATTATTTCAAGCCCTTTGCAGTGACCCTCCATTGTCTGTTGCCAGTGTTTTGTAGTGATGTATCAGACAATATGAGACTGGCGTAGCCAAGCAGGGCTTTGTCATGGAACTGCACAATTCATCAGCTGCTCAAAGTAAAAAGGTCAAGAACAGTTAAATCTGGATCCCGGGTTATGTGAAGTGGGACACTGCTGGCTCCAGGCAGGTTGGAGAGTCATTTGTTGTTATAAATGCTGCTATTGTTCGTAGCTTAAACGCCTGTTGACTCCTGATGAGTTGGACCACCTTTAAGTAAGGTCATAGGCTCTGCTGTCTCCTCTCTCATCCTCTCATCAGCCACTGCTAGGCACATTTGTTCAACCGCTCTTAAATTCAAACATCTATACCAGCCAATCATATGGCAGAAGAACTGTAGGTTTAGGTGTGTAAACGTGGTTTAGATGACCAGCTGAAGTCGAAGCTAGCATCCGAATGAGCAAGGAAGGTTATTTAAATTATTTTGAATTTTCAGTTATTTGAATGTGGCATGGTTGCTGGTGCCAGACGGGCTGCTCTGAATATTTTAGAAAATGATGTGGTTTTCCAATTAGAGTTTGGAGAGAATGGTCCAAAATAAACACAAATATATATGCTACCTAAAAATATATAACACTTTTTTATTCTAAGTGCTTTTTCTCTAACATTCATACTCCAACAGATGCATCAGAGAGCAACTTGGTGTTAGTATCTTGCCTAGGGATATTTGGCATGCAAACTGAAGCAGCCAAGGATCAAACCACCAACCTCCCAGTTTGTAGATGACATGCTCTACTTCCTGAGCGAAAG